TCCTGCAGGATAAGTCATCGAATTTCTAGTCGCAAGAAATGCTTCTGGGCCCTTGCTGGTGCTTGGCCGCTTTTCTTTGTCGGAGCTGTACCTTTGATAACCGAGCCCCAACAACCCACAGGTTGCTTTGCGAAAGGTTTTTATCGTTGGGTCGCAATTAGTGAGTTTTTGTTTGAGGGTACCATGGTTGAGGTTGTTTTAAAAGGAAACCAAATGGAAACCAACCCGTTTTGGGGTTCCCTGGTTTAAGACACCCCCAAATGCCTTCGATCTTCACCGTCACAATTGAATGCCCCTTCTCTTCTGATCACCTTGCTATGCTGGTCAAGCCCAAACGTTTCGAAGCACAGCTCGGCATCGGCCTTTTCCTTTTTTGTTTTCAGGAGGTCCACCGAAACGGAACTGCGTCTTCTATTCTCGTCGAATTGCAGATCCGTTTCTGAACATGCATTTCCTCCATTTGCTTCAGAATATGTCATATGTTCTCCAGTTGGTGTTAAGGGAATCAACTTCACCAGTGGAAATGGGTTATTTTTTCCAGGGGATGCATCCATATTAATTGGTGGGAGGGTACCTTTAAAATCAGCTCAGATATCTTGCTGGTTCTCAGCAGGGAATGAGTTGGAATGACCCCTTTAAAAAAAGAAGCACCCAATGGTTTCCTTGCAACAAAACCCTAGGTTCTTTCCCGCAACCCGGGCTCGGTCATTCCCTACCTGTGGCACCAGCAAGAGAACCGAGCCCTTGACAGGCCTGGAAATGCAGCGAGATCAACGCGAAGTTCGAGGAAAAGTGGCCACCTACATTGAAGCCACTGGACGTCTCATTGGTAGTTTAGACGTCTTTGAGTCTGTTCTTCCATTTGCTGAAAGGAACATGTTTTATTTTCCCCGGGCGGTTTTAAAGGGAATCTATCACACCTGGAACTACTTTTATTTGTTCCACTTGGGTTTGTCTCTGCAGTCTCCAACTGGTGGGAATCTACAAAAGGGCCCAGCTTCCCTTTGGCTTTTCTTGAACAACACAACCGAACTACGGGTACTCTTAAACAAAGCACTCACTGCTTGTGATGGGCGATAGACTCAAAGACGACTAAACAACCAACCTCCATTCCTTAACGGAGTATAGACCTATTTGCAACGTCTTAGAATCAGGGACAGGGACCTCTTGTGTTTCATACGGGAGGATGTGTCTGGAAACCAGAACAGCACCACCAGCTTGAGGGCATCCTATTCGTTCCTGGCGTCCCGCAATGCAACAAATACACATTTAATGAGTTTGATCAAGCTTGCACCAATTTTGGACACCACATTCAATTGGCAAACTTGAAGCGTTTTCTGGGAGTCTCACTAGCTGTTCTGGGCAACGCGCAGGGCTTCGCCGATTTGCCGGCCCATGGGCACTCGATGGTATCCTGGTCACCTTGGGGCCTGCCCAGGTGACCTTATCAGCCGAAGCGAGGGAGCTTTATGCCAGCAAGAACCCGGACATTGCGAACGGGAAGATGGAAGCTGGCAAGGTAAAGCCCAAGAGCGAAATGGATCCCGAGTGCTGCTTGTTATCATGTAAGCAAAGGCATTTGTGTTTTGTTTGTTTGATGGGTGGTGGGTTCTGTTTGGCTAGCTTGTGGTTTGGTTTGTTTGTGTTTGTCTTGCTTGCTTGCCTGCCTGGCTGCCTGCATACCTGTTTGCTTGCTATTTGTTGCAGAGGATGTTGAAATAATTGCGCTGCATTTCCAGCCCTTCAAGATCCGGGTCAACACAAGCCACATGCTCAAACTGGACCACTGGCTCAAAGCCCAGGTAGATGAAGCTTAAAGGATTAATTCACAATTTCCCTGCCATAAGTCGGTGCGGATATACTCTTCAATTCTTTACATGGTTCTGGGTAGACCATTCTAATACCCCCCTCTTTGATTTTGACTGAACCGGCCCAAAGCAGAACATGTTTGCTGCCCATTCTGCGAGACAGGCTCGCCGTCGCGAAAGAAGCGTCGCCTGGAGAGCAAGTGGTCCCTGGAGGAGGCCAAGCTCGCGCTCGCCGAGCAGCGCCCTGGCAGGACACATGACTTATGACATAAAAATGGTTTCACTCGTGTGTGGCACAAAAGGCGCTTCAAGCAATTGGAGTCAATTGGTATTTGTTTGGGCCTTTCATGATCTTTAAAGGGATTGCATTCAGGACGTTTGGAGGGAAGCCAATTGAAAGCTTGACTCACTACCCGAGTTCCTGGACTGTATACTTTCAGGAAAAACCATCTTAACATTTTAGTGGTAAAGAACAAGTTCGGGCTTTTTCTGACAAATCCATTCGTTCGGAAGTGAGTTCATTAGTGGTACCCTCTCTCCCCCTCACATGGCACCTCACAGGGGTCCCTCCAACAAAAAAATGAACTTCCCGGTACCTCCCACAGGTGCCATGTTAGTGGGCGCAAGGGTAGACACCAACACCACATGGCCATGGCCCAAATTGGTACCATTGGTTTGACCCACAGCCACTTTGTTTGCCCCGGCTCGGCTAACCCGAGGGACGAGGCGTCGGCCCTGCGCTGGCTGAAAGCGCTGGCCCAACGACGGGTCACCGCGCAAGAGCTCCAGGAGACGCGGCGCCTTGAACAATTGGCATGTTTGCAGGGGCCCCCGGAAGTGGTTCTAGGGTTGATTCGCCATTTGTTTCAGCCATCGTTCTTTTCAATAACCAGCCATTTCCCCAGGATGTTTGGTGGTTTCCTTTAAAGACTGGGGAAGTTAATTCTAGAGTGGTGGGTGTTCCTTCGGGTTTCCCTTTAACGATTGGCAGAAAAGAGTAGTCTCAAAACACACACACACACACACACCCACCCACCCACCCACCCACCCGCCCGCCCGCCCGCCCGCCCGCCCACCCACCCACCCACCCACCCGCACACACACCCGCACACACACCCGCACACACACACACACACACACGCACCCACGCACCCACGCACCCACGCACCCACGCACCCACGCACCCACGCACCCACGCACCCACGCACCCACGCACCCACGCACCCACGCACCCACGCACCCACGCACCCACGCACCCACGCACCCACGCACCCACGCACCACGCACCCACGCACCACGCACACGCACGCACGCACACACGCACGCACGCACCCACACACACACACACACACACACACACACACACACACACACACACACACACACACACACACACACACACACACTCCGCGCGCGCACGCACACACGCGCACACGCACGCGCGCACGCGCGCACGCGCGCACGCGCGCACGCGCGCACGCGCACACACGCACACACGCACACACGCACACACGCACACACGCACAGGCACAGGCACACGCACACGCACACACGCACACGCACACGCACACACGCACACACACGCACACACACACACACACACACACACACACAAAAACAAGATGAAAACAGTGGGTTTGGCTCAAAATTCGGGTAACCCCAAGCTGGGTTACCCTTGTAAATGGAAGACTGTACAAAAAAGTGAGTTTCTTTTGAAACGGGCGCAAAAGGCTTTGAGGCGTCAAATGACCTTGAGCAAGGTTTTAAGCAAGCGTTGACCCGAAAGACAAGGACAAAGAGATGGATATGGTTTTGCAGACGCCCTTTTCACCGCCCAAAACATAGATCCTTAGAGTATGTTGACACATCCAGTTGATTGGCAGGACCTGTTAGGAGTCCTTGAGGCTCCGTTTGGAGGACGTCTTTGGGATCCTTCTTTGTGTTTCCACGCTCATGTTCAGAGCCACCATCTTCCAAAAGTTTTTTTGGATGGTTTCCCGGTTGGACCACGCTTAAACACGAGCGTACTTCGCCTCACTTCAAAGAGGCAAGGGTAGCCATGACACTGGGGGGAAAGCCCAAGGATCGGCGTGGCTGTGAACGAATGGCGGAAGCGCGGCAACCCTGAGGTTGCGAAGTTAGCCAGCCAACTGCATTTGGGTTGGAAGCAGATTTGGCTGAAGGCCCGAAACAGGGCCCAGCTGTGATCTCTTGCTCTTCCCTGATGGGACTTGGCCGCATGGCCTTAAGAGTTGCAAGCTTTCACGCGGAATCGATCCCAAATCGCAAGATGAGGTTCGAAGGACGACGGGCCTTTTCAGACACAGACTATTAGACTATTTGCACTGGTTGTCATGGCATACAGCTGCACCGTTTGGCGTCCTTTGGCTCCGTAGATCACTACTTTAAACATCTTCAAACCAAACTCACCTGAAAGGACGACGGCTGCGCCCTGTTCACCTTTTGACCGCAGAAGTTTTGGGCTATGTGAGTCGGGAGGCAAACAGCAAGCCGCCTTCCTGAGCTTCGTCAGCTCATTGTTTTGCTTGCTAGTGGTGATGACACTGGCTTTAGTTTGGCTGCAGCTATTGTTCAGTCCACTTGTTTGCACTTGAACCCATCGGCTTCCTTTGAGGTAGATTTAGCAAAGACAAGAAAGAAAACAGGGGCGTAGCCTGAGTCGGAACACCAGAATGGCGCGGCACCTGACCTTGAGTCTTACTTAGCCGTGGAACGGCTGCGGGGTTGTAAGGCTTCGGACAATTGCCTGCGCCGGCATGAAAGGCAAAAGCAGATAGGCAAGCTTCCAGATTCAGTTGAAGCATGATCTCATGGGTGCTACGACTGACCGGGACCTCATGAACATGAGTTAGGATCCCGGTGTGCAGGTCAAGTTCTCATCCGGAAGCATCCATGTTGACCCTTCTGCACGATTGTTGCCTAACTTACCTGCGTCATGAGTGTTTTTGCGTTGCACGAGCTCACCTGCTCTTTTCCCGCTGCTCAAGTGAGCGATGCGGGGATGCCTCGTGCGACATCCAGGATTCGGCCTTGAGCAGATTGAAATGACCAGCAGGTGGCGGCAGAAAGGGTCGCATGGAGTAGCTCAAGTTCAGCATGTTTGCGCAGCGCCACAGGCCCTTTTGGCCGCTAACATATCGCCTCAGCAGGCTTGCCGTCTTACAAGAGATTTCGGCGGTCCGCAAAGTGTGAAACGGGGGAACCTAGAAATCTTGAGCTTTCCGTTCCTCGCGCCGCACATGGCATGAGTTCAAGCGGAGGCACGGCCTTGATCGTCGAATCGTCGAAGGACAAGCTGACTTGACCTTGTGGCAACAGACAGCTCAGTTGCCCAAAGCGAATCGACCTTTCGACCTGCTGAAGTTTTCCAGTTCTGGTCCATGACCTCTTTTTTTCTCCTGGGTCAAGCGGCAGCTGTTTGAGCCTTTCCTGGCCGTGGCGGATAGTCCATTGCCGTCCAGGGCAAAGAAAGGGGACGCCTCGCTCGGTTTTCTGCAAACAAGTGATCCGGCTACCCAGGGCAGATTCGAGTTGCTTACCTCACTGGCCGGGGTCCATTGAAAAACCGCAGATATAGGGTGAATATTAAATATGTTGTTTGTTGAGGCCCTTTTTGGCGTTGAAAAGGGAACTCAGCGCAATGTTTTCCCACAAGCTCAAACGGCACAGCCATGGCTTTCAGCAACAGACGTACCAAGGTGTTACCAGGATTTGGCGCATCCGCTGGGTTTCTGATTGGTTTGACCCTTGACATGGTGACCTCTGTTCAGCTTCCCCACTTGCAACGAGGTCCCTCGACTTCGCAAGAGTCTATCAAGCCACTCTGGATGTGACGACTACGTTGACTCTTTAAGCAACCCGTGGCTAGCTTGATTGAAGCCTTGACGGTTTTCTGGCGGCTGCAGCCAATCCCACGTTTGCGCAAATAGCCGAACTCGACAACTTGAGGCCACGATTCTGTTCACTAGCATTGCCCTGGTTGTAATTCGGATTACCCCCAGCGAAACCACAAGGGGACGGATTTCTCAGACTTTGTCACCCATTCACAAAGCATAGAACCCAGCTCATGTCAAGCCCATTTGGGCTTCCAAGTGCAACAGGTTCGTCATAGGTGGCCGTTGTAGGTCAGGTTTGGTTGAAATCAGACGGCACTGGTTGCAGGTTGGTTCTCTACCAGTGCCATCTATTGCACCAAACGGACACCTATGTTCATGGTGCTTTTCTTTTCCAGTCGACACGCCAAGGTGGGCACTGCCTCAAGCCCATGGCTCGATGTCGCAAGGTTTTGCTCTTAATGTCGGAATTCGCTCAAGTTGCCCGGGGCTCACTAAAAGATACATGTTGCAACCATTTGAAACATGGCTTTTTCAACACCAAAATAAAGGTTGAAACCACCATTTACAAGTTGCAATGTTCAGGTGTATAATGCATCCGGATCCCTGTTGCCCACGGGAGTAATCTCTTTCTTTTTGGTCCCAATTTTGGTCCCATAAACACGGTCAGCCCCATCGGTTGGAGTCCGCCCGAAGCCATCCCGTCCTCTTGTCCCAGAAACATGGTCGAGCGAATTGGTTTCCCTTGTCCGCCATGGGTCATCAACCCGTGTCGTGTGTTTCCGGGAGCACCTTGAGTCGATACCTTTTTCGATGTTCCTTGTTTAGGATGAGGAATGTTTGGTTTTTGGGGGATGTGTTTTTGCATATTCGGGATATTATGTACGATTATTTAGGCCATACCATTGTTTTGGAAGTTACTGGGGACATTATTTGGCATATTATTCAGGATGTTAGGATACGATTTAGGATATATATTGCTACTGTGCCCAGTGGCCGTTTTGGAGTTCCATGGTTTTCGTATTGCTCCTGCCTGTGACTTCCATCCCATTAGCTCGTAGGCGACCAAGCAAATCACACCTTGACGAGAGGAACATAGAGCAAGCTGAGGCATTCACTCCTCGAGCAAAACCCCAAGGTCCCAACTTTGCCGAAATCTCATCACAAGGGGTCACACGGATTCGTGGCATTTGTTGTGCTGACAAGGCAGCAACCTTGCTGCATCCTATCTCCTCTGTTTTACGTGACGAAAGCAATGCTTGTTGCCACTGCACTCAGAAGACCTTCTGGCAAGCGCTCGCGATATCCATGTTTCGGCCGCTTTGCCGTAAAACTGGCTAAGTCAGCACTACAAGCCTTTGGCTTCTTGTTGCCAGGTTAAGTGATCGAAGAGAAGGGTACTGCATTCCACAAATACCAACTCCGTCTATAAGTCACGACGGCCTACTGTTGATAAAATACATTTAGATGTGTGTAAGCATAGTATGGATAAATGGTCGGTTACTCATTGGTTGCCCCCTCACCGGATGTCACACCCGATTCCTAGATACTTGTAGCGGTTGACAGAAAAAATGGTTGTCGGAAAAGGTGAGTAACAACTTGTGAATGCTAATTTCAGTAGAAGAAACAAGCAACAACCTTGGCAACACATCTTTGTTGCTGTGCCAACGCCCTTTGTAACAATTCACAGAACAGCGCATTGTACACCAACGGCACCCAGAAACTTTGTCCAGCACACGTGTCCCGGCAACCAGCACCCAACCCAGGGCCCATGTAGATTCGAGGTCCTTTTTGCGAGTAACGTTGGAGGGAAGCATTGGTCCCCGCAACGTTTGAGGGTTTCGATCTGAGACTCTGGCTCCTTTGTGGCGCCAGCCAGCGATGTGAGGCGGGAGGCATGGCCAGGGGTTTGTGTGGTGTTTTGTTTTCCTGTTACTGTGGATGGACAAAATCCATTTCTATTTGCAGGGGAATCACCATTCCGAGGTTCTTAGGTGGTGCAGGGTTTCGTTCGTCCACTTGTTGGGTCTGTGACGCAGTGATAGTTGCTGTTCAAGAGACGTTGGTTTGTTATCTCAAAGTTATTGGTTCCAGTTTGTTGAGGCCAGGGTCGTCTACCCATGCCTGTCAGGAGTCAGCGACTCGTGTATGAAAGCGCAAAAACTTGAGGAGATTCGTGAATTGCTTCCCGATCAACGTGGATCCTCCGAAACACCTATGTTCGTTACCCATGTTACCCCTTAAACCAACCTGAAAAGGGCACGATGCAGCCGCAGGTCCCCTAGAGGCGGGCAACATGAAACTTAGGGTTCCACAATGGCAGTCCTATATTTGACGGGCCCCAGGTCTCTCAAATACATGATCTCAGCTGGAACTCTGCAGAAAATCCGCGGTCCCAAAAGGAGAAAGTATACAGTGTGCTTGCGGACGATTGCCGACCGGTGCCAGCCTCTCTGTCAGGGGTTTTTGATTTCTGAGAATTGCGTGACTTGGGTTCTGAAACTGAACTCTGGATATAGGCTGGGATGCTCAAAGGCAATCCTTAATCCTTACCTTGGGTTGCGCAAGGAGTTGGTCCCCTTTGTGGTGGCTTCCCTATATAGGGATTATAGGATTGGCCAACCCAACCCATTCTGAAGAGCCCAGACAAGGCATTGAACCTTCCGATCCCGGGAAAGAAAAACAAAAAAAAACAGGTGGGCAACCCATCCTCTTTTTTTTGAAGAGCCCGGAAATCGGTGGGTGGCAACTTTGGTTTGCCCAACATCTCCCAGCTGGAAAAAGCTTGCTGGTGCTCAGAGCATGTCATGAACGAACCCAGGGCTCAAAGGAAGCCAGACTCCATTTCCTAGGCCCCCCCCCCAGCCAGGTGCCCCTCTTACCATTTCTGTTTTGGGGAGATGCGGTTCCCCTAAAATAGACCTTCCAGAAAAAAAAATCGGGTACCGGCTTGTTTTGACCTCTCAAGTCTGGAGGACTCCGTTTCTCATTCCCCGCAAATCTCTCGCAGCAAAGGGCAGCCTCCAGGCTGACTGCCGCGGATCAAGCCTTTGCGGGCGCCAGCGCCAAAGCCGCGCCGGCCTAAGCCGCCAGTGCATGAGCCTCGCTTGGTGGTGAATATTCACCGGGACCAAGGCTTTGGTGGACATGACTTGGGGATTCATGTTAAAAAAGTCGCTTGCGAAAGGTGAAGCAGGCTTGTTAGGGGGCGTCGCAAGCGATGCAGTACAACAGTCCAGCAATCCATGGTTAGAGTTCCCGTCTTGGGGATAAGTCAAGCAGAAGTGTTTGAAGAGTGAAAGTCTGAAGTAGACAATAGGTGTCTTGTTTTTGAGGTGCCTGTTTTTTGGTATGTATCTTTTGCAGGTGGCTCCATGCATCTTCTATTTGCTGCCCGCAGGCGACAAAGCTGTCGCTTTATCCGCTGGACACCTGGAAGAGCAGGAAGCAGGCGATTCGACGTTTGCGATGCGGGCGTGCCTTGAGGTGTTCGGCGGCTGGGAAGAGCCAGCGAATCGGCGGGTAAGCCTTAGGCGTTTGGCGGTTCTTCGTTGGTGAAAGGCGGTTGGGTTCTGTGGATAAAAGTAGCTACCCCAAATGGAGCCCTGGGCAAAGGGGAACCCAGGACTAGAACCTGCGGTCCCCTAGTTGAATTTTGACCACCCATTCAACCCACAAGTGAAGCTTTTAGCAGATCTGCGGAGAGGACAGCGTTAAGCGGGACCACAATGGCGGATTTCCATTTGGTTTCCCTTTAAAGCAAGGCCCAAAAGGGCTCCATCGCAAAAGCACAGACCCATAAGCCCCACTTTTCAGGCATTTGTTTAGCAGCACTTTGAATTTGCTTCGTGGCCAAGACATATTGTTGATCTTCTTTTGGCAGGGTCGCGTGTTCTAGGTTTACAGTTCTTTTAGGCCAAGATTTGGCCATGGTTTTCTGGTGGACCGAAACAAAAAGCCAAGGATGCATGCCACTATGGAAGACGAGAGGCCACTGGAAGACGTGTCTTTGACCGTCCCTGCACTTGGTTGGATATGGTTGGATCTCATTCGACGCAGACACGTCACCTAGGGCCTTTAGGCCCCTTTTCAGCGGGAATCGAACCGAGACTTCCTCCAAGCACGGGTCGGTTTGATGTATTTGAAAAGATCATTGAAGTTAGCCAATGTGAGCAGAACGCAGGCGGCCAGGTCAGCAATCTGAAAAGATGGGAGATCCGTTGATCCAAGTTGAGTCCGGTCGCCAGGCTCGTGGTGACCTGGACTTCCGGCATCTCCGTGGTATTCGGGGCGTCTACCGTGGCGTGGCCAGAGCCTCGAGCGTTAAACAAGACGCTATGTCCGCTATGTGGCCAAAGTTACCCATGGTCATGGCCGGGGGCCCCAAATGGAATATTGCTCACCCCCCCAGTTGCTGACGGTGACTTCGTGAGCGCCTTGCAGAGAAAATCCTCGAGGCTCAAATATTCATCAGCCCCCCATTGGGGCCAGTTGCATCAACATCTCTGAGTTTACACCACATGGAAATAAAGAGTTCCCCAGGTAATATTGATGATCAGCCCGCAAATTTAAATGTGAGCAGCGGATTTTCCGGTTTCCCCGATTCCTTTTTTTGATCGCACGATGAGGTGCCAAAGCTCCTGCTCTACTCACCGTATCAGGCGGGGGTGGTGTTTGGTTTTTTCGTGCGCGCGTGTGTCTGTGTGTGTGTGTGTGATTCCTGTTCTTGCGGAGCTCGGTGCCAAGTTTCTTTTGTGAGGGTTGTTTTAAAGAGAAACAAACCCATGGCCCTTCCTGTTTGTGCGGCTCGGTGCCTTTTTTGGGTTGTTTTAAAGAGAGACACCCATGCCCCCCCCCCCCCCATGTTGGGTTTTGATTTCCCCTACATTGGAGTCTGGAAAGACCCTTTCCTCGAGCTGATGTTTCCTCGCAGGTTGGCAAGACAGACCAAGATGGAGCCATGGAAACATATATGCAGACTCGGTCAAAGCCGTTCAACCATATCTTCCTTTATGCATCTTCAACAAGCAAAGGCAGTTGCAGCGCAAGCCAACGACACCAACAAGCTGGCAAGGCAAGGCCTGTGCGCTCCTTGCCAGAGCCTTAACAGAGAGCCCTGAGCAAAGCCGGAAAACAAGCTACATCGCTGTAAAGCAGCAACAAGCAGAGAGCTTTTATGCACATTACAAAAAACCTTTGCTGCTACGGCCCCTGCCGCCGGCACATCGCTCATGCTTTCAGGTCAATGATTTTTTGATGAGTTCACCGCCATGTTTAGTGCTTGTTGCACAAGCTGTTTTTCCCACTTAGCATAGATATTTGGCCCATTTGACCCCTCTTTGCAGCAATCGCACAACTGGTTTGTTTGCCTTTTGTCTCAGCACTTGCGCAATGTTTGGTGGAAGCTGTCTTGTCCGCTAGCAAGTCACGAAGATCTTTTGGCTGCAGCTGCCAGAACCTCTTTGTCGATCGGCGAGGGTTGGGCGTATGCTGGCCGTTTGCATCCCACAAGAGCTGAAGGCACTGAAAGTTCGCTATCGCCGCCGTTGGCGTCATCGGTTCCCTACAAACCAAAACCGCTTCTTGCCAGGCAGTTTACATGAGCGCCTACATTACCTCGCGTGACAGTCTTCTAGGCGGGGCGGGGCGACTCAGAGATGTGGCAGCCGACAAGGCGGAAAGGAAGCCACAAGGGCGGCTCGTCTTTTCTAAGGGGTTGGACCCCCCAAAAGATTCGGTGTTGCTTGTGGTTTCCATGTAAAGCCATTAAGGGGGACAAGACACACCAGGCAGGATTTTGTGCGATTCGAATCACCTTTTTCGGTGGGCCAAATGCCTCCATTTTGATCAGCGGAGGTTTTGGGAACTAGAGAAGCAAAACATGTGACGGTGCAGGACAAAGTAGAATCCATTGGGTCCAACCAATGAGCCAACAGTTGATTGTGTATTGTTGTGGTCTGAATACCACAAACCAGTCGAGATGTTGTTGTGAAACGGCCCCCAAATTATAGAGTCGGCTGATTTGGCAGTATGTTGGTTGCCAGGTTTCTGTCATTTGTGTTGGATTGTTTTTTTTCTTTACAGTATGGCTATGTCAGTGGCATTTGCCAAGTTGTTGTTTTGGCTACGCCGCCAAACATTAAACACGTGCGTTGTTTTTTGTTATGCTCATGGCGACATACGCTCCTTTCTTTTCTTTCTGGTGTGTGGGGCCATGTGCTTTCAGACACAGTCGCCTGTTTGCCTGCTGCTCACAATGGCCCAGGCAACGAAGATATCCTTGGTTTTGAAGCACAGCGTATGAAAGAGTAGTGGCCAATCATGTCCAATTCTGGGCAGGGCTCTTGAACCAAAGTCCTCGAGGGCGCCAAAAAGTCCGGCTCAGCAAACTTATTTCTGGTCAAGCTTGAAGATAGCTTTACATCAACACGAAGCTCGCTGTTCTCCCCCTCCCAGACACTTACTTGGTGTCGCAAGCTGGTCTGGCATCCTTTGCCGGGGGAACTTTTCGTATTCCTCTCGCTGAGACTTTGGCGTGGCTTGTACGCTGGAATCCTTGCCACACAGCAGGAACTTTGGAGGAAACCTGTTGATTAAGTTGCATCGCTTTGCAAGGCCCACTGGGGGACTCAGCGCTGACCTTTGTTGCAGCTGGCATAGCTGCGGAGGCCGCTTAGGGCAGTCACTTAGGGTGAGTACATCGCCTTTGACATCCTTTTCTATTGACGGCCGATGCTGGAACATATCCCGCGAGGAAATGGGTGTGTGTGGGTACTAGGTGGTTGTAAAGGGAAACCAAAAGGACGACCAACCATCTCGGGGGTCCCCTAAAGAAAGACATATCTCATGTCGTGGGCCCATCTCATGTCGTGGGCCCTGAACACATTGAGTCATGGCATCAACTTGTTGCGGTCTTAAACCAAAGGGAACCTGCCGGCCCATGTTTGGCCCTGTTCCTACCCGGGGTTTCGAGGCACTTGGTACCTGCAGATGGTTCGCCACCGACACATTGCCTGTCGCCTGTATATATATATACATATATATATATAGTATATATATATATATGTGTTAAGGCCATTGTTGGGTGTTCTGTATTGGGGGGTTTGGAGGGGGGCTTCATACTTGAAGATCTCGACATTCCTGGTGTACAAGCTTTGGGATCCTCAAGAGCCCCGGACCCGCTGGAACCCTCCGAAAGCTTCCCCAAACCACCCCGAACGAGCCGATCTTTGCCTAATCGACCCCCGAAGCTTGCAGCTGTTCGGGGAAAAAACAAACATTTGACACACATGTTAGTTGTTGGTGGGCAAGAATCCCACTTAAATGATGTCCACCAAAGGGTCCGAACAAATATAGCATTTGAGTCATTCCCCAATGTTTCAGGTTCCGACATTCCAGGTGGCGGGCGCTGCCATCCGCGTACCTATGGAGGCGCTGAGAAGCACAACAATTTAAATAAACAAAGTACCCTTCCTCCAACAAACGTAGCACCTGTGGGAGTGTACCTGGAAGATCAGTTTCCTCTCAAAGGAAACCCCCCGTCACGGGCTATGTTAGTGGGAGGGAGGGTAGAACATGACATATGACTGTATCTAACTTCCTGAGTTCCTGGACTTTAGTCATTTTTTGGGTGTGGACCATTTTAGTGGTAAAGAACAGGTGTGGTTACTTGGCCCATCCACTCAGGAAGTGAGACAAGCTCGAACATGACGCTATATATATATATGACTGTATCTTGGAGTGGGGCTAAGGTATGCTAACGTTGTTTTGTATTGTGGAAAGTGGAAAGCTGCTTGGACAAAGGACTCGCCGCATGCAAGAACAAATGCCACTTTGTCATGCGCTATTCTGAGCTTGGCCGGCTGAGCCAAAGAGTTGACAGAACAGAGCTCCGCTCATGGAGTTTGACTTAATTGCTGTTGGGTTGGGTCTTCCATTGGACCCAAAAACATGAACACCTTTTTTGCAGAAGGTCGTTACTACAGCAACCAAGCAGATAATCCCTTACAAAGAAGTACTTCAATTGGTTGGGATTGGCGTTGGGAAGAGCCGAGCATTTGACGCTAGAAACTGGACTTGGCGTCCTTGTGTGTGCACAATAGTTGTTGCCACTGGAATATAAGGCATTCTTAGCCTTGTGCTAAGCTTTGTTGAAACCTTCCAAGCCGCGTGGCCACTTCTTTTGACCAACCCTTATACACTTGAGCTTATACACGTGAGCACATTGGGTAAAATACCTGTGAGTACTGGGGAGGATCTTTTCACAAATCGGAATTTACAGTTGGCCAGCCCTCAAACTTGCTGGTGCTCAGTAGGGAAGGATCCAGGGTGTTGAGAATGAACCTAGGAATCATAGGCGATGGGTTAGGGAGTTCGTTCCCTTACTCCCTGCCGATCGAACCAGCAAGCGAAGGAGATCAAAAAATGGCCATGGTTCAAAACCAATGGTACCATTTTGGGATAGGTGCACCACCCATTTTAGTTTTTTTTAGTCGTTGGATTGGGATGTTCACTGGGACGGGGTTCTGACCCATGGGCAAATCGTGTTGGTGTTGGCTCGACGGCTTTGGCCAGCGCCTCCCGGATCGGCACAACTTGCAGTGGGTCCCTGTTTGTTTGGCCTTCTGCAGCTCTTTGTCCCAGCCGTTGTGAGGCATTTGTATCACACTGAAAGCTTTGTTTTTTAACCCCCTTTGCTCATGAACTTTAAGCCTGCGTGGTTTTTCACCCCATAGCCTTGTTTGAAGCGCCGGGTTGGTTAAGATGGCAGGTCCAGAAGGTGCACCGGCAACCCAAGTTGCCATAGTGAGATGTTTCTCCAGGGCACTGAGGGATCCATTGGCAGAGCCACGGAAGTGGATGAAGTCTGTTGTGAGATCTGACAACTTGCTTAAGTTAAGCGCCCCAGCGGTTTGTTTAATGTTGACCCAGGATTAATAAACCCGTCCCATTGTTACAGGGGGGTGTTCCCTCCAAAATTGATGAATACCCACTAAAAGGGGACACCCCCCTTATTAATCAACCAGGGGCTTATTATTCCGGGGTTAACATTAACCGCCCAGCGGTTTGCTTTCTCATCAAATCTAGGAGGCTGGCCCTTGGCCAGTTGGACTTGGCGCTCTTATGTTTGGATCTGCTCAGGTCTTTTTTTGGCCAAACTTGGATGAGCCAGGAAGCATCCGTTGATTTTGCCCAGACGCCATTTTCCACCCAGCGTTGCAGGAAAACGGGCGCGGTCCGCGGTCCTGTCCGATTGCTAGTACCTGCCGTGCTCGGCAGGTGTCGAAGCTGCGCTTGCAGCTGGGCGTGTACAGCAACACCTGGCACGCTGTGAAGGCTTGGCTTGACGTGTGAGACGAGGTCGCGAGGCCGCTTCTGGGGTTCGGCTACCACCATTAAACGCATGCTTGGGGTTCATGGACGAATCCATTTCGCGCAACACAAGCAACCCTGGAATGATGACTCCCCTGCAAATACCAACAACTACTGGATTCCCATGGTTTCAAGTTGGTGCAGGATTTCGTCCATCCACAGTACAACCAGAACTGTTTAAGGACTGTCATCATCAAAATGTTGTTAACCATTCCATTTTGATGGGAATCAGCTGAACACTATTAGGGTAGTGGAGTAACTGCATGGACGCAAGAGGGTGACCGTGTTTCGAGCACGAGGGGAAAGGCATGTCGACGGGTCCAAACAAATGAACACTTCCAGGAGGACTCCCGGTCCTGGACCCAATTACCAGTTTTTGTCTAACGTGTCCTGCCGTTTTCTTCCATTTGGTTAAGAATATATATTTTTCCCCCTGTTGGTTTTCAAGGGAATTTATCATTACTGGATCTATTGTGTTTTTCCAGGGGACTTAAGCAAGTGGAGGTTTGAAACCTGACTTGGACCAAATGGCGAGTTTCCTTCAGGGGTGATGGCAAAGAGTCATTAAGGGGGCACTCCTGCAAAGTTCTGCTCACCAAAGGGTTCCCAAAACTGAAGCTTGCATCCGGGAGCTCCGTCTCAAACGTCAATGGCCATGGTTCCTGGCCCTCAAGTTCTGCCATCACCATGTTGACGATCCAAATGTTTGGCTGCTGTGAAGCAAGCAGGGAGATCAAATCGGTGTAGTGATGCTAGTGAGATAGGTGCGATTCGAGGCAGCAAGAAATGGCAATCGCCAGTATTTGGGTCTTTTGTGCTACTGGCGGACATGTGGTCCTGCAGAAACACTCAACAACTTCCGGCTACCAAAGACAAAAGCCAAGGCAAGCTTCATGATGGCATCAATTGGCGCATGTCCATTGCTCAAGCCTCTCCATGAGCACATTTGTTTTTGGTGTACGCTCCTGCTCCATGAACACCCCCCTACCTTGAAAGAAGAGGCTCATGTAGCCACAGTCTTTAGTTGGACTTGCATTTTTAAGGAATGGTTCCTTGATGTGTGTTCGCGTTGGCACGTGTTCCAAGAATCCTGCTGCCAATGAGACTCTTGCGTGTACGCGCCCAGCTTCAAGGCACGAGTTGGTCAGTGTTTGGCCCACGGTGAAAAAGTTGATAGCCTGCAAGTGGGCGAGCATCTCATGAAGGCACGCTTGATGCAGGATGGACATAATGCTGGGGATCCTTGAGATGTGCGTTGTTTTGTTTTTTGGGCCGGGGTGGGCATCCAGTCAGGTCCCCCCTAATTGGTGGCGTGGTTTGAAGCCCGGTTTTTTGTAGAGGGTAAATGGGAAACCCCTCCTTAACCACACAACCACCGGGCTCCAAATCACAAGCCACCAATCCAAACCACCCCACCCCTCCAGGGATTGCCAACGCAAAGCGAGACCTGTTTTTGTCTCAGGACTTCTGCCGAAACCCCTGGCAGATTTACCGGGGGAGCTTCCTGCCGGATGCCCGGTAAGAAGCGTCCAAAGCGAATCGACCGGATCTGACCTTTTGGTTTTCCTAGTTCTGGTTGTGAGGGGCCCCCCCAAAGAGGGGACCCCCCTAATAGGCCGCAAAGAAAGTCGCTGTCGATTTGGATGCGGGGCCCGCCCCTATTGGGGGGGGGGGCCTTGGCAACCATAAAACGTTTGGTTCATTCTTGGTCAAGATTCCAGCAGCAAAGGTCGGGCTACCGCAGTTTCATAGTTATTCAAAGCCATAGCAGGAGCTGGGTGTTTTGCAGCAGTCGTCAGTTTCATGATTTCTGTTTTTTCTTGGTTTAAATGCAAAGACATGGATAGCGTGGCAATCGATCCTTGTACCGTTGCTGGTACGTAGTCCTCCTGTTCGCGTCCCAGCATGAACAGCTGAGCATATTGGATGTTCGTGATTCGAGTATCCCCCCATACTTCACGAAATGGGACGGGCCGGGGGGGATTGACATTTCTGTTTAACGCCTGCCTTGGGCCTGCAACCACCGCGGATGTGGGTCCCCCCCTTTTCCCGATTTCAGTTTGCAGTTCGGTTTCGGGCCGGTGGCCCTAAGAGGACCCAGTCCGTTGGGGACCTTTGGCCAGCCATATCCAGACTTCCCGCCCGGCTTCGAAGGCACTGGAAGAGAACCTAAAACAACTGCAGAGCACTCGGTCCTGCCGGTTGTTCCCAGCAGAAGATGGCTTCGCACTGGCCACGGCTTCAAAGGCACATGCAATCATGGCCCAAATAATTGAAACCGATGCAAGGAATTGTCAATGATTTGCCTGCAGCTTCTGTAAGTTATTTTTCCCGTAGCAGCAACCCAATGTCAGCAATCCACATTGATTAGGGTTAGCTATATTATCCTGAGCATCGGTTCCAAATGGTGGCTTGCTTTTCAGGTAAAGAAGGGAAGCGATTCAAGCGCCAGCAACGATTGAAATGGCCGAATTGTGTTGAGGCCGCAGACCATCATGCACGACTGCTTCTACAGCGCCTGTGGATGGCTGATCTTCGAGTCTGGTAGGCAGGGCTGAAACTCTGCACGATGGTGTTTCCAAGATATTGGACCGATCGCCAGTTTCCAGTTAAGTTTCATTTAAATGTCAGTGCGAGCGCTGCACAAGAAATTGGTTGGTCGAGGCCCAGGGGGGCTGAATTTCTTAGCGTCCATTTCGTCTTGAAAAGAGCTGGTGTCTACCCCTCTGGAGCCAGGGGGGCTGGATTTCTTAGCCAATTTCTTATCCAGCCCCTGGATTTAGCGGCCCTTCATCACCCGAAAAGGCCGCTAAGAAATCCAGCTTTCTTAGCAAAGGAGCCCTTCATCACCCGAAAAGGCCGCTAAGAAATCCAGCCCCTGGACTTCTTAGCAAAGGAGCCCTTCATCACCCGAAAAGGCCGCTAAGAAATCCAGCCCCAGGATTTCTTAGCAAAGGGGCCCTTCATCGCCCGAAAAGGTAAGAAATCCAGCCCCTGGATCTCTTAGCAAAGGAGCTGGATTTCTAGCAAAGGAGCCCTTCATCGCCCGAAAAGGCCGCTAAGAAATCCAGCCCCAGGATTTCTTAGCAAAGGAGCCCTTCATCACCCGAAAAGGCCGCTAAGAAATCCAGCCCCTGGATTTCTTAGCAAAGGAGCCCTTCATCACACGAAAAGGTCGCTAAGAAATGCAGCCATCTCTTAGCAAAGGAGCTCTTCATCACCCGAAAAAGGCCGCTGGATTTCTTAGCAAAGGGGCCCTTCATCGCCCGAGAACCGAGGATTTCTTAGCAAAGGAGCCCTTCATCACCCGAAAAAAGCCGCTGGATTTCTTAGCAAAGGAGCCCTTCATCGCCCGAAAAGGCCGCTAAGAAATCCAGCCCTTGGATTTCTTAGCAAAGGAGCCCTTCATCACCCGAAAAGGCCGCTAAGAAATCCAGCCCCTGGATTTCTTAGCAAAGGAGCCCTTCATCACACGAAAAGGTCGCTAAGAAATGCAGCCATCTCTTAGCAAAGGAGCTCTTCATCACCCGAAAAAGGCCGCTGGATTTCTTAGCAAAGGGGCCCTTCATCGCACCGAGAACCGAGGATTTCTTAGCAAAGGAGCCCTTCATCACCCGAAAGGGCCGCTAAGAAATCCAGCCCCAAAGGAGCCCTTCATCACACCGAAAAGGCCGCTGGATTTTTAGCAAAGGAGCCCTTCATCGCCCGAGAACCCAGGATTTCTTAGCAAAGGAGCCCTTCATCGCCCGAAAAGGCCGCTAAGAAATCCAGCCCCTGAAGGAGCCCTTCAGCAGTGCCACACCCGCGCCTGAAACCAGGAATCATTGGTTCAATTCTTGGCGTGCGGAGGTGGTTTTCTTTCTCGCGCAAGCAACAAGTTGGCTAAGAAATTGGGTGGAAAATCCACTGGGACTCAATTTCTTGCCAGCAAATGCAGTTACAACCTGCTTCATTTGGGAATTTCAGCCCCTCAATTTCTTATACAATGATTTCTTCTACGGTGCTTGCACTGTAATCCAAAGCGTTTGGTCTTAGGGACGGGCCATGTTCAGTGAAGATGCTAGACAGTGAGCAATAAAGGCTTGCACGGCGCGTTGCCAAGTTGAACTGCGGAGTTGACCAGGGTTAGCGCAGAATCACCTGCGGTATCATGGTCATGCGAGTGTCTTTGGCAAAGGCTGATTGTATAGGTCCATATATCAACCCATGGCCATTTTGCACCTGAAAGGGGGCTGATGTCCCACAACTACGCCATAACTAACGGTTAACCAATCATACCAGGGGTTCATGCATGGACGAATACATTCAACCTTTGACTTTTTGGGGGTTCCAGTTTTAGGGTTCCAGTTTCAGGAAAGTTGGCTTCCCACATTGAAAACTAACGCCATAGCAGATGCAGCGCCCAAGACCCCTTTTAAAGCCGCTTTAGCAAAGACGGTTATATGACCAGGTTCATAGAACATATTTGTTTTGCATGGCCCGCCGGATGTGTCCATAGCTGTTTTTTTGGAGTGGGCCGGCGACAGGCCGGCCGGTTCACGGGAACAAAACCCCTAAAGTTGTCCCATAGACTGATTTGTCAGAATATGGCTAGGATATGGGTGGAATTTGGCCAGAGGCAATGAAGATTAAGACTAGTCTATGGAAAAGGCTGTCGGTAGTGTCACGGCCTTGAAAGAAGTACTGGCCTTTTATTGCGGGAGCCATATGACACCGACAGTTTCTGCACTTGAAAATCCTGTTGGAAGCGCAAGCTCTCTAAGCTATCTCCCTTTGGACGATATCCCGTCCGGCAGGATTTCCGCCCAACTCTGCAAGGGAAGTGACACGAAAAAGGAAAGTCAGCTGCATGGGACTCAGTTCGAACGTAGGGGTTTACCTATCATTGCTCCGGCCTTGACTGAATTTGTTAAAACGCCAAAAGCCAGGCCAAGCCAACAAATAGGCAGTTGAGTAAGGGTTTGAGCGGCAAACAACAAGCAATACTAGGGTCAAACAAGGCAGCATCAAGCAAGTCAGCTAAATTAAAAATATCAAGTTAATCAACCTGCATCTCAGCCATCTAGCAAAATCAAGCAAGATCCAACAGCAAACAAGCACTAACAATTAGGCATTGCAAGCACACAAGCAAGTTGGGGAGCAGAACAAGGAAACATCAAGATGCCAAGCATTTGAACAAGGAATGGTATCTATTTCTTCATATATATATATATATATTGTCCTAGTGGCACGCTGCGCAGAGGTGTACCCTTGCTTCTCCGATCAGTGTCGCATCTATCTCTTGTATCCTGGTGGGATTTTGAGTGACCAATTCTGTTGTTCAAGTGAATGTTCTGGCTGAACACACTTTAATGCTTGGCCTGAGAGAAAACCACAAGGGGACGCATGTTTTACCGTGGTTTTTGTTTTCAGAGAAACCAACAGGGTGTGCGAATGTTTACCATGTTTTTCAAACCTATTTGCGCTCAAAATGGCCCCTTAAAGTGGGGTTTCCTTTGCCCCTTGAACCAACCCTCGCAAAAGCCCGTGGTTTGCCCATGTTTTGCGAAGAACACGGGGGGATCCCGGTTTCCCCCCGTTGTTTCGCTCGCATTTTCTGCAGGCAATGGCTCTTCGCAGCCCATGGTTGCTCGAGCCTCCCAGTAGCGGCCTCGAAGCTTTGCAAAGTCGGGTGCTGCAAGTGACTCATGTTTTAAAGAATATGGCAGGCCAACAGAGAATGGATTATCATTTGAAGAATGCCCAATATGGCAGGCCAAAAGGGAATGGATAATCATTTGAAGAATGCCCAATATGGCAGGCCAACAAAGAATGGATCATCATTTGAAGAATGCCCAATATGGCAGGCCAAAAGGGAATGGATGATCATTTGAAGAATGCCCAATATGGCAGGCCAACAGGGAATGGATCATCATTTGAAGAATGCCCAATATGGCAGGCCAACAGGGAATGGATCATCATTTGAAGAATGCCCAATATCGCAGGCCAAAAGGGAACGGATAATCATTTGAAGAATGCCCAATATGGCAGGCCAAAAGGGAATGGATAATCCTTTGAAGAATGCCCAATATGGCAGGCCAAAAGGGAATGGATAATCATTTGAAGAATGCCCAATATGGCAGGCCAAAAGGGAATGGATAATCATTTGAAGAATGCCCAATATGGCAGGCCAAAGAAGAACGGATCATCCTTTGAAGAATGCCCAATACGGCAGGCCAAAAGGGAATGGATAATCATTTGAAGAATGCCCAATATGGCAGGCCAAAAGGGAATGGATAATCATTTGAAGAATGCCCAATATGGCAGGCCAAACAAGAACGGATCATCATTTGAAGAATGCCCAATATGGCAGGCCAAAAAGGACTGGATATTCATTTGAAGAATGCCCAATATGGCAGGCCAAAAGGGAATGGATATTCATTTGAAGAATGCCCAATATCGCAGGCCAACAGGGAATGGATCATCATTTGAAGAATGCCCAATATCGCAGGCCAAAAGGGAATGGATAATCATTTGAAGAATGCCCAATATGGCAGGCCAAAGAAGAACGGATCATCATTTGAAGAATGCCCAATATGGCAGGCCAAAAAGGACTGGATATTCATTTGAAGAATGCCCAATATGGCAGGCCAAAAGGGAATGGATATTCATTTGAAGAATGCCCAATATGGTAGGCCAAGAGGGAATGGATAGTCTTTTGATTTGTCCAGACCCCCAGAGCACTACAAATGGCCGGGGTCTGTTTTGATATGATTATGCCTATTTGCAATGAGCAGGCTTGCTGGCTGGCCAGAATCACTGCATGTGGTTTTGGTGGGCAAGAGCTGGGGCGGGGTCCAGCATACACCTCGTGCAGGGGTGCTAGGTAGCCCGAAGCTACGGAACATTGCCGTTTGTCACTTGCTTGTTGTTCTTCAGAGATTTGCCCAATGTATCTTTTGAGATTTGGCGTCGGGAAAGGAGCTTTGGATTTGGATCATGTGTCTGGTGGGTTGGTCCACGCACGGCTGCTCTATCTCCATCACACATGTTGCAGCCATTTTTGAGTGTAGCTATGCGTAACTGCATGTGCAGAAGAAAACTTGTTAGGTTCGTGCGCCCTGCAGAGGGTGCCCTTTGCGATCACATTCGAATGACCATGGTTTTTCGGGTTGCCAGACGCGGCGGTCAAGGCTTGGCGCCCTCGCAAGTCCCCTATTCCCCCGAAACGATCGCCTTTCGGTTGCCAATAGGCGAGTCTGTTCGCTTTGGTCCCATGCTCCTTGATGCAAATGGGGGTTAACCCCGCATTAACAAACCCCTGGTTGATTAATAGGGGGGTTGCCCTTTTGGTGAGAATTCATCACTTTTGGAGAGAACCCTAATAATGGGACGGGTTTATTAATCCTGGGTCAACATTATTGGGGTGATTTTTGAGGGGGAAGTATGCCCGAAAAATGGGCCGACAGCTCTTGGTTGGCCGACAGGTCTACGAGAACTTGGGCCTGGGCCTCGTCACCGGCACCCTTGCCTCCCTGGTGGGGAAGCCCAGCGACTGATTTCTTGCTCAGGTTGAGATATGGCCATGGGTCAAAATCCCTTTGCCCCACCAAACATCCCAATTCCCACTGAAATAGACTGAAATGGGTGGTGCACCTACCCGAAAATGCTGCCATTTGTTTTGACCCCCAAGCGGTATACGTCCATGATATGGTGACTACATCGTGGTCATACCCCTACACAGCTTTTGTTTGGCCGATTTGAGGATATTTGAAATCTACTACCAATCTTTACCCTGGAGAAAAACAAGGAGTTAACTGGCCCCTGTTGTATTGTTTGATTGCTCTTTTCGTTGGAACAAATGCCTGTTTCTGACAGTTATTTTGCACAACATCTAGGTCACAAGAAGCTCAAATGGCAATCAAGCAGTTGTTCGCTGATTTGCAGACAAACCCATCATCAGCTGCTTGTGTTTGACCCTGTTGAGAAATTCTGAGAGCGATGTAAAAGCTCCGCTTGTAACTGAGCAGGCAGGGTGCACTCTAGCTTGAGCAAGAGGTGACATACAAGGATGTAGAATATGCTCCTGAAACAGTAATACCCTGTGGGGAATCATCTTCGGGGCGTGAACTACCGTACCATGAAACCACCTTCAAGGGATTTCATGTCAGGCTCGGCAATTACCCAGGCTGGTGAGTGAGCCTCCCCTATTGGCAATCTATAAATAACGCCTTGTATCCAAGCTGCATGCAGTTGGACACCGCTCAGAGATGGGCTTGCGCCTTGGCCAGGCTCAAAAGAACCACAAGAGCAACGCGGGCTTGAGCAAATGATGCTGGCTGAGTAGTGGTGGGCTGTGTTGCATTGAGCTCCAACGAGGGGGGCGGTCTAGGGGCTTGGGGGCTTGGGTCTGGGGCTGGCTGCTCAAGCTTGCTGGAAGCGTGGGCCAGGCTCAGCCGTGTCTGCGCGGATTGGGCTGGAAGCCAGGGCTGCAAAGCCCTTGGGCTGCCAATGCGTATGGCGGTCCACGATAGGGATCTGTCCGCTTCCCGGCCACGAGGGCCGAGGCAAAGTGTGTTTGTCTCTCACTTCGTTTCTTGGCCTCGCACTTGCAGAAATCGACTTCCCAGCGCAAGAAAAAAGTTGATCCCAAGCTTCAAGCCCTTGGGTGTCGCTGTTGGCTTGTCAGGCCGGGCGCAACCAATGTGAATCCATGTTTGAGCGCCCGACAAAATCACCAGCAGCTTTTAATAGTAGTGGAAGCCGAAAGGGTACTACCCGAAACCAATACCCCTTTCTATCTTCTTAACTTCAAAACTCATAGGGGGCCACCCAACTTTCTCATGGCATTGAGTCTAGTACAAGGATTTTGTCCTCAACTCACGTATTGCCTCTGCAAAGCTCAGCCAGAGACCAAAATAGGCCTCGGAAAGCCAGATGGCCGTCGTTCTTTTTCTTGAGCCCCACAAATAGTAGTTTTCCTGTGGGTGTCCCTTTAAACCACATCAGTAGACACCCTCAAAAGCGCCACCCCGATTTGGAGTTTGTGTGGGTAAAGTGGCTGCTTGGGATGGAAATCGCTTTGAATAGACAACTGGCCCAGGGAAACCAATCCCGGCGGTGTCTTTTGATGAGGGTACCCCTTTTTTCGTTGTTTTGACCTGCAAAAAGGCACACCCATATTTGAACAGTATATGATACATTGGAACTACCCATGGTTTCTACGAAGGTTCTCTTGCAAAGGCCCAAAACTGGTTTTGGGCACAGGCAGCAGACGTGAAGCAACTGGCGTCAAGGTCACCAATCCTGTGGATGTGGTCAAAACAAGCCCGCGCCTCAGTTTTGTCGAGCAAGGTGCCGCAGCTGCGACGTGTCCGTTTGGAGAAAACTCTCTAACACGGGGGCTCATGCACGTTGTTTGTGAAAACATTCTGAAAGCATGAAGCGTCAATTCCTGGGAGTGCTGTCCCACCCAACAGAAGGTGTTCCTAAGACCAAATCCGTATCACTGCGCAGCATTAAAGCTCGCATGTGCGGAAGGGGACGCCAAGCACGTAAGAGCCAACATGTTGTTGAGCAAAAACATATATTTAGATGTAAGTACATGTCCATGTCATGAATAAAGCACATGGCACCTACTCCGCCTTCCACATCATAGCATTAATGTTGAGACACGGAGCTGGGCACTTGAGAGGTGTACTCTGAACATTTTGTTCTGAGAGATGTACACATGCGCTCATGATGTCTTCAGGGCTGTGCATTGACTCTGATGCGTGGTTTACTGCAGGTGCTGTTTGCCTTCTGCGCCCTACCTCACAGGTTATCAGCATGAGGGGCGTCTTTATGGAGTCTTTGTGCGATCCATTTGAAAGGCGGGCCAACATGCAAACATGGAAGCCGAGTCTTAAGAATGGTGTCTGACAACTTTGCAGCATGCCGTTTGAAGCCTTTCTGCAAAAAAGTCCAACTGCCGCCTACTTGCAGCGGCAAGTCGCGAAGCACCAGTTTGTGAAAACATCAACCGGGCCCAAGGGCCTTTGACAAAGCCAAGTTTGGTGTCTAAGACGAAGAGAGACTAGGGAGGTTGATGTTGATGGCAGCATTACGGGGGTAATTTCAGGCCTTTTCAACATGCTAACAGAGCCAATTAAGACTTGACCAAAGGCCAACTCACATCCTTGGTGTGTTAGTAGTAGGGGAAATGCAATAGAGAGGCAACTAAATACTATGCTTTATCGACTCTTTGGCTCCTCAGTGTACTGCCGTTTCGAGCTTGTTCTTTCAGTGTTTCATCCCCGAGCCCATAGGACGCCCATCATGATGTTCCACTGCATGCGCTTGAGGTATTGCACAATTCACGATACATCAGGCAGTTGGCAGGTTGTTCAAAAATGCAGGAATCATCGGCTGCAGGGACAAGCCTGAAGGCGCCGGGTGGTGTTTGCATAGGGGTCGTGTTGGGTCAGGTTGTAGATGGCACCGGTTTCAGCTTGGCTCTAATCATTTGCCAAAGCCACCTGCTTCTCTCAAGGACGCCAAGGGTTGATTGCCAAGTGTTTGTTTCCTGAAGACTTGCCGCTCAAGCGAATGATGCGAGTGTCAGCAGTCGGAGACGAGGCGCAGTTATATTGCAGATCAATGCGCGAATTTGTATAGTGGACTGCATTAAATACCAGCACTTCATCACGCATCAACACGAAACCCTGGTGCAGGACCGATGAGCTGGACTGACTTTGGAGGTTGTGTACTACCCTGGGCTGCATTTTGGAGGAAACTGCCTCCTAGTCTGAACGCTGTGTTAGCAGTTCAGCGTACCACAGAATTTTCAGAAGAGCATAGAGCCCAGGGCCAAAACAATCTAAATTACGTGCTAGCAAGGCTCCCCAGGATGCATTTAAGTACAAATCACATGTTTTTCCAGACACTGACGGCCATTAAGTGGCTAAAGGAAGAATCGACTTTTCCCAAAGCTCAAGCTGAAGATTTGAGAGCATCTTCATCCAATTTATGGCCACTATATACTTGCATGTTTTCTTTTCAGGAGTGGCCGCTGCAGGCAGTCTGCCGTACCTCGGAAATATAGGCATGATGCGGCTGTTGCAGGTTTCGAGACTGAAATATGTCCAGAGCATTCTTTCTGGGTCCACTGTTCCCCAGGATCATGGTATCATAGATAGGGGCTACTGTCCCCCAAAAAAGAACTTTCCTCAACAGACCTGATTCGTCCGCAGGCATTCTTGCGACGGCGGCCGGCATCTGGCGCACCCTGGCTTCCCCTGAGCGAACCGAGCCCGAGGTTTTTTTTTGTTGTGGCCTGTCAAGCTTCTGCACAGGGATTTTTGTTTTTCGAGTTCCAAGCTTTTCAGTGTGGCTGCACGAAGTAGCTCCTGGAAGCAGCTTGAGCTGGGGTGATCCTGTCCAACTACAGGTCTCAGTAATTGTGTTACAATGTGCTGCAGCTTGAACCTTCTGGCAGACGAGGGATAAGACTGCAGTTGCTCATTTGCTTTGTTCTATGTTTCTTGATGCGGGAGGGGATGTGTAGAGGTGATGTCAAAGCCATACACTGACTCATAGCTCGTGCTTTGCGGGTACTTCAGTATTCCAGACACGGACACTTGGCCTAAAGCATGCCCGTCACATGCAAAGCGCAAGACACAGGAACCCAATAAAGCGATCCACAGGGAACCACACATCTTGCCACGGTTTGACCTTTGCCGTAGAGCGTCCGTGCTTTACTTGGCTGAACCGCAATTGGGGATTGATGAAAAGGTCCTTTGCGCGGGGGGAACTTTCGGGCAACCACCGAAACAAATAACTTTCACCACACAAACAAAATGGGACACATTACCCATGTTTTTTGTTTCGGGGTCAGGAATATCAATTGAACCTCTTCGAGTGACCCTGTGGTTTATAGTCTCTTGTTTATTTGGGCAGATTCGGGGACACCCAAAGTTTCCCACAAAAACCGGGGGAACCCCCCAAGTACATACTAGGGGACTGGTAGCACGCTCCAAAGCGATGCAGGGAACCCCCCAAAACGTCCATGTCCTTGTGGGGAACCAAGGGCTCAGTTGAGGTTGTGGCTGGCTCGCGCTTCTGAGGCCATGAAGGCATTTCTGCCTTCTGGCGCGGAGCCGCACTGCTCCTTGGGCTGGCAGATATCCGCGATGAGCGGTTGGAATGAAGTTCGTGGGGTTCAACCGATTCCCCTCAAAAGAATGGCAAAGGCTGCACTTGGTCACCCTTTTGAGTCCATGCACATGCTCCACTACCCTAGGGTTCAACCGATTCCCATCAAAAGAATGGCCTTGGGACCTAATTTGGAAAATGAACATCCTTAGGTACATAATGGTGGTTCTATAATCCAAACATTGTTTAGTGGTGACTTTGTGGTAAACACCATGGGAAAGGACCTGATGAATCGTGAGTTGAGCCCAGAAGAAAAGCTACTTGTGCCACCGCGAAAGGACTCAACGCATCAATTGTTTGTTTGTCCCGTGTTTGTATTGCTTTGTGTCGAGTCTTCGGAATGAATCGATTTGCTTGGCAGATATTTGCAGTTTGAAAGGGACCCATAGCTCGAGGGCACCATGGATTGGCACTCAATGCAACATAGCTTTGCCTTCCCGAGGATCGGTACCCTTTGTGAGGTTGGTGTGAATGAGAACAAAGAAAGGAAACCCGCATTTGTTCGGGTACCCTAATGTTTTGACACACATGAACAAAGCGTTTGAAGGAGATCGCCAGCAAGTCCCCCAGTGAATGTAGGCTGTAGGTGATGATCCTGTTCGCGTCTTCATTTCAGTTAGTCTTCTTTCTCGCTTATATTGACCCAGGATATATAAACCCGTCCCATTATTAGGTGTTCCCTCCAAAAGTGATGAATCCCCACTATTTAAAAGGGACACCCCCTATTAATCAACCAGGGGGCTATTAATCCGGGGTTAGCATTACCCTAAAACAACCCGCGAGAGAAAAACCGCCGGAGTTGGCAAAGTATTGGCTTGGCAGCGCTGGTGCTCTCAACACATGGGTATGGCTCAAAATTAAGCAGCCAGGGTTACGCAGGTTTTAGTTCATGTTTCCATTTACCAGGGGTCCATTTTGGGTACATATTTTTGACTTTTGACCCACAGCCATATCCCCTTTGATTGCTGATGGTGGGCTAGCGAATTGGCCGACGGCCAACCATCATTGTTCCCTGGTTCAACTTGCTTGTGTGAAGTGCTGTTTTTTTTCCCCGACGGCTGGAAGTTTTGGGGTCTCTGTTCAAAGAAGATCTTTGGCGATTCGGTGCAGCTGTCAGGGGAGGGTTCCGCAAGGTTGCGGGGCTATTCGGGATACCACCGTTACCAATTTTCGACTTTGGAGGAAAGCAAATGTGGCTGTGGGTCAATAATATGTACCCAAAATGGAATCCTGGTAAATGGACACATAGGCTAAAACCCGCGGTCCCCCGGTGGTTTAATTTGGACCCATGCCCATGTTCTGACAACCGTGTGGCATCCCGAGCAACCGGAACCTCCGGAAGCCGAACCAACCGCTCCCTTGGAACGTTCCATGGCACGAGGGACAACTTCCCGGACCCTACCTCAAAGCAGCGAAAAGGACAAAAGGCTGGCAGAGATTCCCCATAGCTTTCAGCTGAAAAGCAGACACCTCTTACTTTTCGGTGGCCGACATCGCTTGGTTCCATGCTGACCTTGTTTCTTCATGGGGTCTGTCTTTTCTGAGCGACCTGTTTTTTGCGTGGTTTTGAAGGGACGCCGACAGGAAAACCACCATTTTGGGGTGCCCTACGAAAGACACCCCCAGTGTGAGCGCTTTGCCTGCACAGAATTTTCGGCAAATTATGGCTCGCGAGCAAGAAAGGGAAAGGCAGAAGGCCTTGTAGCTAGTGACTAGCAGGGAATATGGGAAAACAACATAGAATCACCAGTGGGCCACTGTCGGGCAAGGCTAGTAGTTAGCACAAGCAACACGCAACTGATTGAGGGAATTGATCGATAAAGCCATAGACCTCCCTAAACCCGTGCTGAGTCACTACTTTGCGTATTTGGGGGGTGATCAGTATTCCTGTCCCCCCCCCAAAAAAAAACAGAGAGATAGAGACAGAGAGGTAACTTTCACCGTTTTACTGGGAAAGTCATCTTGTTTGGTGGTTTCCCTGATGCTCATCCCATGTATGACGGACCTCCCATCCATTGATTGTGCGTGATGCCGCTCTCTCAGGCGGGCGCTCCACTTGGCCCCCAGCCATGGCTTGTGCGCCTGCAGACCGGCCCCAAACGATTGCTGGATGTCGATGTGCCCGGAAGTCGAATGATTTCCGTGCGAGACTTAAAAATACCATTTGTGTGTGTGTGTGTGTGTGTGTGTGTGTGTGTGTGTGTGTGTGTGTGTGTGTGTGTGTGTGTGTGTGTGTGTGTGTGTGTGTGTGTGTGTGTGTGTGTGTGTGTGTGTGTGTGTGTGTGTGTGTGTGTGTGTGTGTGTGTGTGTGTGTGTGTGTGTGTGTGTGTGTGTGTGTGTGTGTGTGTGTGTGTGTGTGTGTGTGTGTGTGTGTGTGTGTGTGTGTGTGTGTGTGTGTGTGTGTGTGTGTGTGTGTGTGTTTGTGTGTGTTTTTCGGGGTTTCCTTTTTCCCTGTTTGCTAGAGCATAGTCTAACAGTCGCCCATGGTACCTTCCAGTTTTAGCCGATGTTGCAAAGCCTATTTGTCAAGCTGGCTCTTGCAACCAATGGCTTACTCATATGCGTACCATGTTCCTTTTGGCTCGACCTTAAACCTATTGCATGGCAACTGCCTTTGTCAAGACCTTAGCCCCCTTCTGGACGCCCGCTATCGCAGCAAGCTGATAGCTCCGCAGGAAAAACGGTGGTTAAAAGCATTCCCTTGCTTGCGTTGGTGGCCCTGCCTTTTTGATCAACTCGATCAAACGCCTTCCAGGCAAGAACAGAGTCCTGAGTTGCAGTTTGTTGGGGTGGAAGCGGTGCTTTAAAGAACAACTCTGCAAAGAGGGCACGGTAAAGTTCTGACACAGCCTGCACACGTCTTCTAAGGGGGGGAGGGGTGCTTTAAAAACTCGGATTAGATGGCATCTGACACTTCTTTGTAGCTGCTGGGTCTTGGTGACCCGCAGCCCGGCAAGTCAACCTGCCCATTTTTCCCCAGACGTGGCCGAAGCCTGTTGCCCTTCCTGGCTTTCTATGTGGTTTTCCTTCGGGTTTCCTTTAAAGCCACCAAAAAGGGGGGTACCCTCAAAAACGACACGCATTTGTGTCTTACGACTTGCTTGACCAATGCTTAAACTCACGGCCCTTTGCACTGCACCCCTGCGTCAAGCCCAAAACCCGATGTCTGATTTCTTTTTGGCTCATGGCGTGGCCAAAAACCCACTGCCTGCCTTCCTCATGGAGTTTTGGGCGGTTTGCCAACGGCTTCACTTGATTCTTGTTTGCCTCCCATATTGGCTGCCTCTTTCAATAATTTGGAAAGGCTTGCAACTTCATGCTCAAAGTTGTGTGTTTTGTACGTGACCGGGAATTTGCAGCTTAGCCCGTTCTTTCGAATTAGTTGGGCCCACCTGCGTCCTTCCGGCGGCACAGTGAACGGATTTGGTTTCAGGTCTGCAAAACGGATGGTGTTCCCCTTTGATCTTCCTGAGCCACACCAAGAACAGAACTCGATCCAGGGAGCCAATCCAATTGTGTACCGGTCAGCCACCTTGGCTCGCCTCAAGAGCCTAATTTACCAGGCAGGGTTGCCTCCTGACACTTCTTTGTTGGAGGAAAATAGCAACTCCAATAGGGTTTCAACAATTCGAGGATTTCATTCACCTTCTAACACAAGGGTCAACAGGGTCGACAAGCAAACCTGCTTCCAGGTACATGCTGTTGTACGAGCTGACCAAGCGTCAAATGGTCGCGTGGCGCGGTACATGATTGCTCGCAGAACAGCGCTGCTGCGACTTTGCCTTCGGGTCGTCAAGAGTGGGTTATTCATATGCCAAGGGAGTCGCGTCACAAATTGGAAGGTGTTTGGTTACCTAGAGCGGCAACTGGATTCATTGGCCCAACCTTCAAAACGTTTAGATAGTTGATCATGTTTGTTCCAGCGGCCACTAAATGAAGACGACCAACAACACGCAAACACATGAACAACCAGTTGAAACACATCAGTAGTCTGTGCGTGGTCATTTTCCTTGCACTGTTCTAAGACTCTAAGAAGCCAGCTACGGGAATTTCTTCCGGAAGTTGCCAAGCCTGGTATTCAAATGGTGTTTGGCAAGTACTTGACGTATGTTCTGCAAAATGTCCTATAGCTGGCATTTTATGCAATATCAGAGCATGTTGTTTTGCTTTGCTTTTAGACCCCTTGTTGTCCACCCAGATTTCGGTTGCGTGTGTGACCTTGGTATATGAATTGTTTGAACGGACGTCGCGACTGTCTCTACCGTGCAACCGTTTCTGGGCTTGATATTTGAGAATATGCATCTTGCAGGAGCTGCTTTTTTGAGGACAGGGCCCCTAACAGACGATGACCGCGATTGATGAGTGAGGATGTCCACTTCAGAGTAATTTCCTCAAACAGTTCAGGGCCTATTCCGCTCAATATGGGTCTGTTTTCTAACAAGGGTGCCCCTTGTTTAGTGGTTTTAAAGGAACAACACAAGGACAACCACCACTTTCCGGGTCTCCTAAAAAAAGACAACCCCTTATAGAAGCTGCAGGGCACATGGGAGCTGTTCAGCACTCCTGACTGAACGCAGCGCTGGCCCTAGCAGAAGTGACATCAAGCGATACAAATCACGACGAGCTGCCTGGCTACACTTGTTCCAGTGCTTCCCACACCTAGGTCCCCCAGTAGTGCCCTTTTACCTTTTCTTGGGGGGAGGGTTCCCCTACTAAAATAGACTACAGAAAAAAAGGGTACCTGACGTCTCTACTGGAGGACCTAGACACTTTCTGGCATGTGGGGGTTGATCAAAAGGTTGTTTTCATGGGAATACCATTGTGGGAAACCTATAAAAGGAAGATTAAGTCCCACTACATGGGAAAAGTTACTCATTGTCGTTTGGGGGCCAGGAATGTTGATCGACCCCCCTATATGTCTGCATTGCTCGCACAGCTGCGCAATGTCTCGTGCGGAAGGTCTTGCTATGTGTTTTTGTTGGAGCGAAGAGTCCATCTGCAGTACATGGGTGATGCTTGCGCAGTCTCGCGGGTGGCTACCGGATGCGAAGCCTGAGCAAGGTCTAAGCATCGAGCAATACCAACGCATCGGGTCAGCATCGACTCGGCACGGCATACATGTGTTGCTTCTCCCACTGGCCCAGTGGCGCCCTTTTGTCTTTTTTTTGGGAAGGGTTCCCCTTTAAACTCGCCCAACCAAAAAAGGATGCCCTATTTTCCCATGGAAATCCACTGGGCATCTGAGTTCTTTGTCTGACATGAGCATGCAACATAAACTTTGAGGTAGTCGATGCACCTGCCATGGCGCAGCCCACTCTGGCAGAGCTTGAGGAGAGAGAAGGGGCCGAAATGCCGCTTGAGGCATCCATGAGTGATCAGCGCCCTGATTGATTCAAGAGATAAGGTCACGCATGTACTGCGCAGTATGCCGGAAATTGATCGCTCTAATTTTGGATCCAGCCCTAGCCCCAGTCTGAAGCATGTATCTCAAGCATTCGCCCCAAGGCAAATGGCGAACCCAATTCCCAATACTACTTTTAGAATAGGCTATTTCTAAACCAATAGTAAACTGGATGATTTCTCGCCCAACCCAACCCCAACCTTATTGAGGGCTACTCCAGGACAAATGCTAAATCAATACCAAACCCATACTAACCTACGAAACCAATACAAACCGATGCAGAAAGCAATTCGCCACCAAATGCGAAAGATGACCCTGATTTCTGCTATTTAAACTTCTTACTCGGAAATTGCCATTTTGAATGATCTTTGGGCTCGGAACGGGCCTATTTGGACGACCGTAGCCGAAACATTCTGCGAGCCGGTCTCGAGCCATTGAGGAGTCCTGGCGCAAAGGAGCCAAGGTGGGCGAGAGCTGACGGTCGTTGCTCTCCAAGCCCTGGCCAAGCCAAGGGTCACTGGATGACAAAGTTGCAGCGGTGTGGGTTTCAACGAAGCTGCCACTGTAGCTGCAAACATGGGGAATATGGCTGGCTTTGCTGGGGAGGGTTTGGGTCTATGGCATGTCTTATTCAAGATCCTAGCTGGTGCTGCTCGTGTACTTTGATGACCTTCATTATTCTGAGTGAAAAAGACGCTTTCATATGTAGCTCACACCAGCGCAATCAGTGACAACATATCATGACTAGATGTTTCCTGGCTAGGGTTAGACAGATGCCTCCCGAGCCCATTCAGAAACTGGCTGGCTCTTTGCTTTAACCCTCACTGTAAGATGAAGGTTGGCGGCCATTTGTTTCGATGGACATCACCTTTTGACCTCGTTACTAGTGATCATGTTGCAGAGGGTCAATGAGCCATTCCTCACGTGTTGAACCCTAAGAGCAATCCTTTTCCAAACCCAGCATTGCGCAGCTGAACTTTTCCACATGTCCTGGGCCTGACTTAAAGTTGCTTGCTGTGTTGAATGCGTCGATTGCAGCATAACGGTTTTTGAACGAGCGCTGGCAATTGAGATCCCGATGTCATGGCATCACTGACTCCATATTTACCCACCTCGGATGTGACCTCATACCTGGGTGAAGGCAGACCTCATTTTGTTGCGCTTAAAACCCGTGCTAAAAGTAACAACACTCAGCGCAAGCGACTGTACTGCGCTCAGATCGGAATTTGAGCGCTCCATCAGTGATCGCACATTGCGTGAACCGACAGTTGCAATGATGCATACCGTGCGCCATTTTGGCGAAAAAGCATATGTTCTTTCCCCACCCACCCCACCTTTCACTCATGCCTCTAGTGCCTGTTCATGAGATCGATGTCGCATGGAACGTAATTTGGAGCAGGGAGAACGTCCACTCCCTTTCGATGCTTTGATGTACAATCTTTTGGTTCGCTTTTTGATTTGCATTCCTTTGGTTTGTACTTTAAATTCGAGTCATGGATGTCCATCGACCCCAGCGATTCAGAGCGATCGACCAACAGGCACGATCCCAGCGAATCTCGCTGGAGCGATTCGCTGTTGTGTTTGTTTGCGCTGTTCAAAGGTAATCCGTAATGCTATCCTGTGAGTTACGCAAGGGACCGGTCCCCCTTGTAGTGGCTTTTTCTGGGATTAATTAAAACTGGATCCAACCCAACCCACTTTGAAGAGCCAGTTTGTAGCTGTAGCATCGAACCTCGCCTTGCGCGAGGTTGAGGCACAATCGCTTTCCTACGGCGATGGAGAGTGGTATGAGGTGAAGGCAGCCGGGTTTGAGATGGACAAGCTTGGGAGCAGCCGAAGGGGCGTTGGTACCCTTGTTGGCTGGTATTTTAGAGGGAAACCAAAAGAAAGACAACAATTTTGGGGGGTCCCCTAAAGCAATGCACATCCAGGTTGGCATTTGCAAGACAAATCCATGACAGTACCTTCAAACTTTACATCATCTACACGTAACTGACCATCAGTCTGGATTGTAGCTACCATGTATCAGGACAAGGTGTTTGTTGTTTGTTCGAGTGGGGGACCCCTGAAATTGGGGCGATATGGGTGGTTCCCCTTTGACTTCCCGCAAGACCGGCGACAAGCACACTCTCAAACATCACACACACACACACACAACCCGGTGTCACACATTGCTGACTATGGTCAATTGACAGACATGTTGCCCACTGACTCTGCAGCCATTGAGGCCAAGCCTTTGGCATGGCTATCAGGCATCGCACGCAGTTGTTTGAAACTCGGCACTTTGGCGACCGGTACGGCCATGAAGTTCAGTAGGGAACCACTTCACAAGTGATTGGTGGACTTGAACCCCCACCTAGCTATGTCCACCAAAGGGGGCCTAGTTCAAGTTCACACCCCTATGTCGAGGAAGGGCACGTGGCGCAGGGTTTTGTGGCTATCCGGCCACAGGTACGTTTTGATGGTGACTCGCAAGTTGGCTCGTCAGGAGGCTGCGTTGTCTCAAGTTAATGCAGGTTTTGCTTCGGTTGCTAAGGCCCGATCTCAGCAGGATTGGTCCGATAGGACAATTTTTATGGCTTTGTGGACAAATGCAATACCGCAACTACATTGTGTCATTCGATTCCCAGCTGTCAACAGTCTCTTGAATGGCCCTGTGGTAAAAGCTCTTTACATGTAAATCCTTAAATGCTACATATTAGCTTGCCACTAGTTTCACACACAGTAAGCATATCACAGAAGGCATGGCGCGTTTCACATGAACGGTCAATAAAACTTTAGAAAGGCTTCACATGACCGTTATAAGCCAACAAACCACCATGGCGAGGAGTGGTTTGGAGCAAACTATGACCATTCTTCATGAACTGTGATGTGGTTTCAATAGCAGCTGTGGCTCAGCGCCGACTCAAATTGCTCCCAAAGTGAATTTCAACCTGCTCAGACGGCATTTCCGAAGGAGTTGCCCAGTTCTCTTGAATGAAACCAACGAGCATTGAGTGTGCCCTTCTCAGGCACTGTCCAGCAACTGAGTTGTTGTTTGGCGGAGGTCTTGCAACTGGATGCCAAAGCGGAAGCTCCAGCAAAGGCGCGGGCATTCAGCGCAGTCCACACCTTGGGCTCCTCGTGTTGAGCCCTCTACTTTGAGAGGGTTCTAAGGGGAAACGAAAGCAAACCACCTGGAGGAATCGGTCCCCAATTTGGAGAAACACTCAGGGGCAAACCACAGGTGTATCAAAACCAATGAGAACCAGTTCACAGATTGCGGTGCAGCATTTTTCCGAGTTATAAGTATCCTTTTTAGCAGGTCGGATTCGCCGAGCAGTATGAAGGCTTGGGATCTGAAGCCGCTAGTTTGTGCTTGCATACAGCTCATCTCGGATCCCGTGCAAATATGCCAAATATTGCATGATATGAGATTCCTTCATGCTTGCAACAGGTCGTCGGTTTAAGCTCACTATGGTCTGGTCACATGCGAGCGCTTTGGCTCCAGAAGGCGAATCAAATCCAATCGATCAGGGCTAATTAAATTTCGGTTTCACGAAGAGGGGGGGGCAACCTCAAACATGCTGAAGGTGTAATATACGACTTAGACAACGATTTCCAAATGTTGTGCCCACTTTTGATGTATAGCCAAAGTTGGCTGTTGGCTGCAGGTCCCAATCTGAACATGCGATCGCCGAAATCTCAAGCAGGTGTGTCAACGAGTTGCAAAGAAACCAGCCTCTGGGAGACGGCAGCTCCCAGAGGCTTTGAACAGTCTGAAAGCGAACTTAAGCAGCTCATGTTGGTGGCAACGTGCATGAGATTCTGTGTCATTGGTTGTCATTGCTTAGGCAGCGTCAAGTTCGGGGTCTCCTGCTCACCTGCGTTGGACAAGAAGATTTAACGCACTGCTTTGTTTCCTGTGAGAGACAATCATCGCTCTGTATGAAGCTTCCCTCCCTGACAGCTAGCAAACATGCTCTTGAGCAGCGGCCAAACACCAGGAAGAGCTCCAGTCCTCCGCAGCAATTTTCTCGTTTTCCCGAATGAGACGCTTCGAATCACGTTGGTCTGGTCAAGCGTAACTCGTTCGAATCATGGCACTAGTTCGAGTGCAATGCATCTATAGTGTACGTGAGGGTGGTCAATACTCAGTTCGGCCCCAAAATGACCATGGGTAACTTGTCCCATTTAGTGGTGAAAGTTATCTTTTTGGTGGCTTCCCTGATGGTCGTCCCATGTACAGGACCTTTTGATCGACTCCCAAGTGTTCATGCTTGGTGAAGCCAAAACACCTTTGGGTTGCCCTGGGGCAAAGGACATTCAGAGATTCACGGCAGTGGCCCCTCCCAGCAAAAAGCCAATTGCTGGGTTCTCGATTGGTTTTTGGTGGTTGTTCTTTGGAGCATGAACGAAAGGATCGCTCTTCAAGAAAGACATTCATGCTGATGGCCCCTTGAAAATATGTTTTTGTTTGTACTTACCCTCCCCCAGGCGAAACGTGGAAGCTCCCAGAACCCCTTTGGAAGACTTTCCATTACCAGTGGCCAATTGGGGGAGCTTCCAGCTGTTTGAGGGACCGCACGTTTTATTTTTTGTTACTTTTTTAGGGTGCGACTGTTGCCAAGTCAGGTTCCGAGGCTCCCGCATCCAATCTGCCATTTGCTTTCCAACATGCTTTACTTTCCCCCTGTGGTGTTTAAAGGGAATGTATCACGACTGGACATAATATATTTAAACCAACAAAAATCCCCGAGACCCTATCCGTCGGAAGAAACCGGTGCCTTCGGCAGGTTCACTTCGTCGGCTTTGGGGACGACGAGGAGTGGATCGAGCTCGCTCTCAAGCGGATAGGGTCGCGTGGACTTTTTGGCACGAAGAAAGGGGGCTGAATTTGGGTGTCTCTTCTTTTGAGGGTGCCCGTTTCTGGGGTTGGTTTCAAGGGAACCAAAAGGCAACCGCTCACTTTGGGGGGGGTCCCCCGCTTTTGAGAGCCCATTTCTAGCCCAGTTGAAGCAAGTGCTCTCGCATCTCAGAGGATGTTTGTGCGTTGGGTTCTTTTTCGGCCAGTTGGCTGTCGGAAGATCAAGATGACTCATGCCACTGGACGGATGGAAGAGGGTGGGATTGGATTGAGATTGGATTGACGGGGAAAAAGTATTGGTGGATGTGATTTGTCGCCTCGTGCTCGGATCTGGATGCACGCTGTGCTCTGGCTCCTGTTAAGTCACATATGCTTCCGGCAAAGGCTCACGCAACGCCAGATGTTTGAGTCATTGAGACGAGTTGTGTCAACATCTTCTAGCTGATATCCTACATCTCTCAAGAAAACATAGTAAGCACAAAGCTGGGTAGAATGCTGGATATCCCTTGCTCCTCACTTGCCAGTTTTCGATAATCAGTGGTACCTGGAATTGCAGCTTGTCATTCAGACTCCAAATCCTGTTGTGGGTGTATTCAATTGATTTCATTCCTCCTTTAAAGGAGCTCTCTGCAAAGAATTGCCAGTACCACAAGCCCGCGCTTGTGTGGGCCGCCCCTCTTTCTATCCGTTGCTGAACCCTGGGCCTGAACTCTGTTTTGCCAATCGACCACGAGCAAGTGTCCATCAGTCTGGGCCAACAACCAATTGATCGTTCTTGAGGAAAGACCAACACTAAATAAAGGTAAAGCGAGGAAAATGATGTCTGCCTCTAGGGGCAGGTGGTTTTGGCTCCTGCCGTGTCAGACTGGTTCTTTTTACCTGCTCAAAGGTCCGTTCTTTTTGCGGAAGGAGGGATGGCACATTGACCAGAAGCTTGCTTGACTCGCCACAGGCCTCGTTGGCTTTTCTGGTTCGCGCATGAGGCGCAAATATAGCAGGGGTCCCTATACTTCCCTTTTTGGCGGTTTTCAACATCACCTTTTTGGCCTATCATACTGGTGAGTGGCCCTTGGGGGTGATGCTTTAAGGGGAAATATAGGGAGCCCGGTGAAAGATACTGCGAAAATGCTCGCGGCTTGGCAATTGGACCCCATGGCCCAAAGCAATGCGCAGTTCGGACTGGAAGGGCTGCGACGAAGGGCAAAGAAAAAGGGCAGCGGCCTCACCAGGGGCTGAGACCGCAATATATATATATATACATATATATATATATATATAAATAGATTATATATATATGTTTAATATTGATAAATCCGGGGTTGTCAAATTAAAGGGCGCTTGATGGTAATTGCCCCCTTCACAAGGCGGCACAAGGCGGCACCAGGGTCCAAAAAGGGGCCATACTGTTGACAACCCTTCATTCATGGGGAGCCTCATTGTTTGTCGAGTACATCTATCACACATAAAGGTCTGTTGGAATCGAATCGGGGAATCGAGCGCATGTTCATTGACTTAGCAGGTTGTGACTACGTTTGCCACGTGTGTGTGTTTTTTTTACGTGCTACCTGCATTCAGTTGAAGCAGGCAATGGATTCACCTTAGGGCTTCCACAGACCTCCAGCACAATATGTAGTGTTGCGCTAAGCATCCTACAAGCCAAGCACTCCACTCCTACTTTGAGGAAATGTTCGATTTTTCCTGAGGGTATGCTTGGCGAGTGCCACTAGTGAGATGCAAGCGGCAAAGCCAGTTTGGGACCGAAAAGTAGTTTGGGAGGCCCGCAATGCGCGATAGGATCCCCTATTGAGCTCCCACGCCCCCCTTGGCCATTTTAGTAGGTGGTTCTACTGGCTGATTTCGGGTATTCAGAAAGCCATAGGAGCGGAACCAAAAGTCAGGTTTGGTCGCTGGCCAATCGCAGGACGAATGGCTGCCTTTGCGCCACCTGCGTCTTCAGGACGCTTTGAGCCGGGCTGTGTGACGTGGCTGTCCCAAGGATGCTTGTCCTGTTGGATATATGTTGCTGCGTTGTGCAGTATGCTATTTGGTCACCATGGTCCCAACAAAGTTGCATACACTCTTGCTTGCGTCAGAGCATGATTGTCATACTAGTTTGCGTGGTACATCGAGTGATTGGTCCCAGAGGCTGCGGGGCTAGTTTGCGCCGTGTGCGGATTCTGATGCCAGCTGGGGGATGTTCAGCGAACTCTGGGGTCGACGGTCTGCCTGATGAAGCGACTGCATAATTTGATGCCAAAGGCTGCGAGTGAACAGGCTAGTTGTTGGCTTCTCGATGTGTTAATCACCACAGTCTTGGTGTCCAAATTGAGGAAATCAAACACGTCCTCCACACTCCACACAGGGGTCTCCATTTTTGGACAGACTCATATCTAGGTTCCATTTCTTTCCACTGCACCTCTTTGATGCTGGCTGAAACATGACTTGCGGCCAGGGTCCTCCATGCTCTGCGTCAACGTGCAATCAGTCATCCAGTTAGCATTGCAATGGGCAGTTTAATTACTGATGTTGTCAAGCGGAACTCTAGAAA